GCATTATCTCTTACCTTTTAAATGCACGTGAAATCTCTGACACAACACTCCCGGAGTTTGTGTGCACCTTGTGGTCGATTTGGCTCACCCGCAACAGTGTAGCATTCAAGAGTATTAAGCTTGACCCAATAAATACAATCCACCAGACTCAGTTTTGGAGAAATAGGTGGCTGCAGGGCTGGAAGCTTTGTACACATAACCAACCAAATCAAAAAGTAGAAGCTGGAGGGATTGAAGGTGCAAGAAACATATGTTGTTCCTATTCTGATCATACCTCAAACCACTCAATATAGATACTCTTTGATGGGGCCTGGAAGAAACTAAAAAGAGAAGATGAAGAGGAATGGGAAGCAACAGCAAGTTGGGTGATTTTCAACAAAGGCAAGAAAGTGATCCAAGATAAAAGCAAAGTATTTGCTACTACCCCCCTACAAGCAGAAACTTATGCATGCCTCCTCGCCCTCAATAGCTACGATGTCAAGGGAAAGAATGTCATCATGCTAACAGACTCAACTCCCTTCATTCATAGCCTCATCAACACGAACGAAGCGGCCCGAAAGATCAAGCCAATCATCAAAAGAATAAAAAACATAGCTATGCTCGCTGAACTCCCTGATGGTTAGGAAAGTTAACAGATGTATTATGCTGAAGCCCACAACCTGGCCACTATAACTAAGAAAGTGTTTTTTTTTTATTGTTTTTTTATGTGTTGTCAAAAAAAATGCCCTACACAACATCTTATTTAAGCTTTAGACTAGATAATTAGAATTACCTTCAATAAATCCTTTTACTGATTATACATAATGGTGCAATTACAACCATCATATATTCCCATATCATCAGCAAGAAGTAAGAACTAGATTAAAATGTGTGTATCCTTTATCTCCATATAAGCCCAAGCAAGTGGAAACATCTTATACTCATTATTACAACGATTTAAATATGTGACTGCCTGTGAGCCCCTCAGATGGACATTTAAAAACACATCCATCAATTCCAACAAGAAGTCCTACAACTAACAAGAAAGTCCTTTTCATTGAATCAAAGCACATATACAACCTTTTAAGAACATTATTGTATAACTTAAATGTATGTGATAGTGTTCAATGGAAAAAGCGGGTTTAAAATGACTCATTATTATATTTGGCAAGACATGTTAATGATGTTAATTTTATTACAAAATGTACTTCATATATCTTTGTAAAATAGATTAGTAGAGCATACATTGCACATTGGCTGTCCAAAACACTTTGGTCACTAATAACATTATTAATATATGTCTGCATTCACTAAAGCCCAATATTATTATCTGCCTGCATGCTGCATTCACTAAAGCCCAACTCATGTCCAATTATGAAAAATTATAATTATCTTTGCACTTTTTACTTTTTATTATTATAAGTCAGGTGATTATGGTTCAGAACGATTCTTAATTTATACATTCGCATTCGGTTTTTTAGGGACAAGGTGATAGGGCTCATATGGCCATTCGACCGACGATTAACTTTGAAGATTATGTAGTTTATTCCATTCATGTGTTGTTTTCTAGGTGTAAATAAAAAAAGTACAAGTTAAATGATCATCTTACTTAACATAACCAATTCCACCACATCTAGATTGGATCAGACATGAGTCTATGTTAAAGTTATTTGAATGATCTTAAAGTATATCATATCATTATGATGAGAACAACAATGGAAAAAGAGTCAGATCCTCTTTTAAGGGGAACTCTTCTTCTACTCATGCCTCATTGAGTGAAGGCTCTGGCTCTCCAATTGGATTGGGTGTTGGATTACCTCCCTTGAAAGGTTGCGCGGAAGAAGTAAAGGGTAATGCTAGAGGAGGTGGCGACGAAGTAAGTGGGAAAAATCATTCGAGTAGTAAGCAAGCGAACCGTACAGATGCTGCTAGCTTAGTGCAACATGTTCATTCACCAGATGAATATGGTATTCATAGTTGTGACAAGCAGGGGGATCCCCCTATGAGTTCTCACTGTCACGACCTTCCAAATCACGGCAATGTTTCCAATCTCGCGAAGCCTAAATTTCGATTTTGAAACCGACAGAGGCGGGGCTCCATTATCGATCTCAACCTCCAAGAAGGATTACTAATTGTTGGCTCGTGGGAAATCCATCCATTATTTCGACTCAAGGTCAGGCTCTTACCTAGTGGTAAAGGCGGTGAAGCCTACCGTAGAAGAACCAGCCAACTTAAATTTGAGTTTTGAAAAAGACATGGGAAGCCAAGAAAAGGAGCAGGAGGTTATAGATGGGACAAAGGGGAAGTGTTCAGCAAATACCCCAAATAGAATTTCAAGTGATGTTGAGCTAAAGGAAGAGATCCACTCTTGTATGGAAGTCACTACTTTATCACCGTGTTTATCAACTACAAACTCCAACAATCTCCATTTCCAATGTAAGTCCAAGGGCAATTCAAGGAGGATAAGTCAACAATCAGTTAGAAAGAAGGCTCATCGACAATGGAACGAGGGAAAGAGATGAAGGACGATCCCGAGTAGTGTTGTCCCTAGCATTTCTACTAACATGATTTCTAGTTGCAGGTCCCATATTGGCAAGAAGAGGAAGAATGTTAACCCCCCCCCCCTTTCTGATCCCCCATCCTACCTAAAAAAGTTTGCTTTGAATGTTAGCTATGGTACTTGTATTTCTAGTTTAATGTCTTTGAGTCAGTGTCATGAATTTGCATCTCAGTGTTGTAAGTCTGCTAGTGTTGTATCCATACCCACGAACTGGAAATATATACCAGATGTAGTGGGTATGTAAGTTTCTTTTAATGAAACTCATTTTCACCACTGTAAAAAAAGAAAAAAAAATTATGATGGGATTAATACTGCTTAAGTAAGGATTCATTTTCTTTATCAATATTTCACTAATTTGAATTGAACTTAACTTATTTGCACAATTTATTTAAATTTATTAAGCTTAATTTAATTGTAAATTAAAATTAGGTAGCCTTTATTATTTGGGAAATTTTACATGGTGGCCTCTGGAAGACAAACTTTTTCCAAAAAACTACTAGAAATAGGCTAAATTCCGACGGATTCCAATTCCCTCGCAAAAACTGGAAATTCCGGCGGAATTATAGGTTGTAGGAAAAATCCGTCGGAAAGGATATTTTCCGACGGAAAAATCCGCCGGAATAATTCCAACGGACTTAATTCCCTCGGAAACTTACTCTTCCGACAAAAAATTCCGTCGGAATGAGTCCAACGGATTTATATTCCCTAGGAAATATCCTCTTCCGACGGAATTTTCCGCCGAAAAGATATTTTCCGACGGAAAAGTCCGTTGAAAGGGGGTATTTCCGAGGGAATATATTCCGTCGCAACATTTCAGCAATTATAAAAAAAAAAAAGACCGATTTGAATTGTTTCAGGCAACACAGCCACGAAACAGAAACTGAGCAAGGGAGAAATAGGAAGAGAGAGAAAGGGAGAAAGAGAAAGAGAGAAGGAGAAAGGGAGAAGGAGAAAGGGGAAGGAGGTCGCCGCGATCCACCACCAGCCGCCGCTTGGTCGCCGTCGGTAAGTCGCCGTTTTTTTGGTTTCAATTTTTTTTTTATTTTAAAGTTATTGAAAACCCTAACCACCACCACCACCTAGGTTGTTACGGAATTCACCATTAGCCACCACAACCACGAAAGCTTCACCGGAATACACCATTGTCGCCGCCGGATAGTGGTAAGTATTTATGTATTTAATTTTTTTTTAAATAAACTATTTTGAGGTTTTTGGGGTTTTTTTTTGTACTTAATTTTTTTTTTTTTTTTTTGGTTTTGGAATGACGACCCCCACAGCCACGACACCAGCCGGGCGTCGGTCTGCAACCAAGGGGACGCCCAGCCACCGCCGCTAGCAGGTGGTGTTTTGTTTGTTTGTTTGTTTTTTTTTTCTTTTTTTCCATTATAATTTGTTACCATTTAATCATTTTTTAATATGCATAGGCATCACAAACTTAGTTACTAATTGAGATAATTTGAAATTTTTGTAGGTTTTGTAGATTCACTTTGTTCTTTGGCAATAACAAGTGCAGATCTACAGGTTAGAGACTATGTAAAACCTAATATTATAAGTTTAGTTTATACTTGGCATGTTAGTCAGTAATTGTATTTGGATATATGTTGATTTATTATTTTTTTTTAGTGTAGTGTATACAATTTATTGTATTTATATTTTAATAAGTTGAAATTTTTTAAAAGAATGTGTATGTGTTATGATATGTTAGTTAAGTTTAGTTTATTTAAGTTTAGTTTTTAATTATTGTATAATAACATGTTAACATAGTTTGGTTTAGTTTATTATAATAATGTATGCTAGTTTAGTTTATTTTATTTTAGTTTAGTTTATTTTAGAATATTTAGTTTAATTTTGTGTATGTTAGTTAATTTAGTTTAATATTTTTGTTTGGTATAATGTTTGATATAATATATAATAATTGAGCTTCTTTTTTTGCTTATATTAAGTTTATTTTAATTATGATAAATCTCTGTTTAGTGTAATGCATGTGACCTTCACTTTATATATATATATAATAAATGAATCATTTGCATAATCATTTGCCTAGATACCCGTTCAAGGCATACACAATAGGAGTATGCCTTGAATAGTCCCCGGTTGGGACTGTCCTTGTACGCTTATTCTCACTTAGGTGGTGAATGTAAGCCTTGCTTTTGATTCTACGGAAAATCGTGTCTTTTCATTTCTCTACAGTTTTCTCTGGGTACATATGTAGGTGTGTTTAATTACCTACATCGTGTACTTGGAGAACTATAGGGAAATGCTGGCGGATTTTCCGTAGAATTGAAAACCTGGCTTACATTCACTAGTGGGATTAAACGTACAAGGATGGGTTAGGTTGGAGTGATAAGGACCCTTTGGAAGCATTTCATATCTCTTTTGCAATTTCATAAAACTTTGATGGATAATGATTAGGAAGTACGCTTTGTGACTAATATGCGTGAGTTGTGTAGAAGTTGTAAACATGAAACGAACAGAACGTAGCTGGATGTATGAAAGGAAGGTTGGGCCATATGTTAATCCAGAGTTCGTGAAAGGGTTTGATGAGTTCATGCAGTACGTCAAAGATAATCCCGAAAGTAGTAACCCGAATGAAGTTAGGTGTCCATGTGCTAAATGTAAGAACAAACGGCTTTGGGACCCAGATACGGTTAAACTTCATTTGTTTCGTGCGGGTTTTGTACCTAATTACTATGAGTGGATGTGTCACGGGGAAGGGTTTCCGACAATTCCTGCAAGTGGGTCCAACGAATATCGTGAAATGGTTTTCGATGCGTTTGGTCAAAGTCAGGATCATGGGCATTCCGAGCAGGCTAGTGTTTCATCAGAGGAGGAGCCTAATGCCCAAGCTAAGCATTTTCTGGATTTGTTGAAGGCTTCTGAAAGGCCATTATACGAAGGGAGTTCGTTGTCTGTGTTGGAGATGGCCGCTAGAATCACAAGTCTAAAGTGCAAGTATAATCTTTTGCACAGATGTGTCGATGGGTTTGTTTCACTTTTCAGTGAAGAAATTCCTAACAACAATCAAATGGTCGACACATTCTATGAGGTGAAAAAGATTATGAAGGGCTTGGAAATGCCTCATGAAAGGATTCACGCTTGTCCGAAGGGATGTATGTTGTTTTGGAAGGATGATGCCCAGCTGTCTACATGTAGGGCGTTTGGTAGCGATCGATACAAGCAGACTTCCAAGGGTAGCCTAGTGCCTTTAAACGTTTTGTTTTATTTCCCGATCACACCCAGGTTGCAAAGGCTATTTACAACCAAGACTATTTCGGAGGAAATGACATGGCATTCGAAAAATCCTCGAGTGCAAGGCACTATGGCACACCCTAGTGATAGTGAAGCTTGGAAACACCTGGACAACTGCTTTCCAGAGTTTGCCTCCGAGCCTCATAATGTTCGGCTTGGTTTGTGTACAGATGGTTTTGCTCCTCATGGCAAATTTGGGGGACAATATTCTTGTTGGCCTGTCATTTTGACCCCTTACAACCTCCTTCCCTCAATATGTATGAAAAGACAATTTATGTTCCTTTCGTTGCTCGTTCCTGGTCCTAAAAATCCTAAGGGCAACTTGGATGTGTACATGCAACCGTTGATTGAGGAGTTGAAACAGTTGTGGGAAGTTGGTGCACATACGTATGATATTTCCATGAAACAGAATTTCAATCTTCGAGCAGCCATCCTATGGACCGTTAGTGACTTCCCGGCTTACGGTATGTTGTCCGGTTGGGCCACATCTGGTAAGAAAGCTTGTCCATATTGCATGGACAAAAGCAAAGCATTTTGGCTAGAAAATGGTTGTAAGGTGTCTTGGTTTGATTGCCACCGCCAGTTCCTTTCGACGAATCACCCATTTCGGAATAGTAGAACTGCGTTCTGCAGAAACAAAGTCGAAAAGGGTGCCCCTCCACACATTATGTTAGGAGAGGAGCTGTGGGAATGTGTGAAAGACCTTCCAAAGGCTACATATAGGCTCGAGTCACTTCAACGCCTCAAAAAAGAAAAGAAGGGGTGGTTCAAGCAAAGCATTTTGTGGGAGCTTCCATATTGGAAGCATCTGCTTGTTCGTCACAACCTAGATGTCATGCACATTGAAAAGAACTTCTTTGATCAGTTATTTCACACTGTAATGGCTGTGAAAAAGCAGACGTGTGACGCGCCATCCGCTCGAAATGACATTGCCAAATATTGTAAACGTCCGCAGCTTCATCTTCAGCAGGATGATAGGGGAAAAGAGTTATTGCCAATGACTCCATTTGCTCTTGACAAGGCTCAGAGAAAAGTTTTGTGTGAGTGGGTTAAACAGCTGCGGTTTCCTGATGGTTACGGCTCCAATTTGAGCAGATGCGTCGATTTGCAAGCATGTAAGCTCCACGGAATGAAAAGCCATGATTGTCACGTGTTCATGGAGAGGTTGTTGCCTACTGCTCTGCAGGAATTGCTCCCTTGCCATGTTTGGAATGCAATAACAGAGATCATCCAATTCTTTCGCGATTTGTGTTGCTATACAACAACGGTTAGTGACATGGAGCGATTGGAGAATAACATAGCTGAGATACTGTGCAAGCTTTAGAAGGTTTTTTCCCCCTGCATTCTTTAACTCCATGGAGCATTTACCCATTCATTTGCCATATGAAGGGAAGTTATGTGGTCCTGTACAATATAGATGGATGTATCTGTTCGAAAGGTAAATCAAAGACCCATGCACCACTACTAGAAATAGGCTAAATTCCGACGGACTTATTCCGACGAACTCCAATTCCCTCGCAAAAACTGGAAATTCTGGCGGAATTTTAGGTTGTAGGAAAAATCCGTCGGAAAGGATATTTTAAAACACGTTTTTTAAAAATGTTGAGCTGAATTTGGAAATATGACATAAAGTTTATCAATTGCAGAAGGAATTCACGTGGGCACCTCAGTTGACCGAGGATGTGAAGCACACGTTTGAAAAGAGGCTTGCTACTCGGTTGCGTGACATGTTCTACACAGTCACACACAAGATGAGAGGCGCAAGGCCAGCCTGGCTCATTGAGGACGTCCACAAGAAGATGATGGATATTGTTGCCGCCGATCCAACTTTCAAGGCAAGGTCGTCCCAAAACAAGAAGAACATGAGGGGTGGGTCAATGGAAAGTCCGGTTGAAGCTACCTACTATCAGGGTTCGATGTCAGTTGTACAACATGCTAAACAAATGGTAAGTTTGTTGAATATTCCTTTTAAATTGGAGGGTCGGGTTTATTCTTTTGTACAGGTGCTCTAACATTTAAAGTTTATCATTTTCTGCATGTATAATCAAAGGCGGCGAAGAATAAAGGGCAGCTCCCAACAGCTCATGAGCTGTTTATGAAGACGCACTTCAAGGAAGTGCCTAGGAAAGGCACGGTACCAGCCAACACCAAAGCACAACATATTGCGGTATTAACTTCAATAACACCTACAACTGTTATATGCATGTTATAAGAAAAAACTTAGAAAATAGGTTGTTTTCGTGATTTGAATGCATGTGCACCTAAAATTACCTATAATATGCATGTTATGAGAAAGAAATGGTTCATTAGGTGAGAACTTTAGAAAATAGGCAAGGGATTGGTCATTTAGGGGTGAATTGGTTGAATTTTGGTCTTTTAGGGTCCCAAAACTTAGAGACTTGGTTGTATTTGTGATTTCAAGGCATGTGCACCTAAAACTACATATAATATGCATGTTATGACAAAAAAAATGGTTCATTTGGTGAGAAATGTAGAAAATAGGCAAGTGATAGGTCATTTAGGGGTCTATTGGTTGATTTGTAGTCATTTAGGGTCCCAAAACTTAGAGAATTGGTTGTTTTTGTGATTTCAAGGCATATACATCTAAAACTACCTATAATATGCATGTTATGACAAAGAAATGGTTCATTTGGTAAGATATGTAGAAAATAGGCAAGTGATAGGTGATTTAGGGGTCTATTGGTTGGATTTTGGTCTAATTCGCTCCCAAAACTTAGAGAATTGGTTATTTTTGTGATTTCAAGGCATACACAACCCTAAATACCTATAATAGACATGTTATGACAAAGAAATGGATCATTAAGTTAGAATTGTAGAAAATAGGCAAAGAATAGGTCATATAGGCCTCAATTGGTTGAATTTTGGTCGTATTCGCTCCCAAACCTTAGAGACTTGGGTTTTTTTTGTGATTTCAAGGCATATACGTCTAAAACTACCTATAATAGACATGTTATGACAAAGAAATGGTTCATTTGGTTAGAAATGTAGAAAATAGGCAAAGGATAGGTCATTTAGGGGTCTATTGGTTCTAGTTGGGTCAAAATTGTCCCTAAAACTTAGGGTGTCGGTTTTTTTTTTGTGATTTCACAGCATATACATATAAAACTATCTATAATAAACATGGTATGACAAAGAAATGATTCTTTTATTAAGAAATGTAGAAAATAGGCAAAGAATTTTGATTTTAACTTACATCTTTAATTTGTGCAACTTTTCATATGTCTATCTTGTAGGAGGCCTACCAGAAGAAAGTTGAAGAAGCAAGCACCCAAGGGATTTAGAAGATTCCAAATGAGTTGTACTGGGAAATTGTAGGTGGTCGAAACAAGAAGGATCGTGTGAAGGGACTTGGCCAAGGTGCGGAGCTGTATTACGGCAGCCAGAAGAGTTCCAAGTCTTCCCAGCAGTACACGCCTTCCTTTCTTTCCCAGATGCAAGATCAGATGGACTAGAGGGTGGAGCAGAGTTGGAGGAGAGGGTGCAAGCTATGCGGAGTGAAATGGAAGTCGAGATGGAGACTCGATTGGCCGAAATAGAAAGGAGAAACCAAGAGAGGTATGAAGAGATGATGCGTCGATTCTCCAGCAACGATTCATGTTCCAACATTCCACATCAGCGTCGAGACCCCACGAACAACGACCCGGGTAGCGGCGGTGCAGGGATAGGTACTCCAACTGTAGCTTAGAATTTGTGTACATAATTGGACATGTATTTAGTTTTAAATTATGTTGTATAGTTGCACAAATTAAAATATATACATTAATATTATTGTTAATATATATATGAAAATATTTTCGTATTTAAATCGTCAATTCAAAATTAACACAAATTAGGTGCAGGATATAGGTGAGCAAAATCGAAATAAATAATTTATTTCTTGCTTATTAAACAGGACTCTTCCGACGAAAAATTTTGTCGGAAATGAATACCTTCCGACGGATTTATTCGTCGGAACATAAACAATTCCGACGGAATATTCCGTCGGAATTGCTTATGTTCCGACGAATAAATCCGTCGGAAGGTATTCATTTCCGACAAAAACATCCGTCGGAAGAACTACTTTTCCGATGAACAATTCCGTCGGAAGGTAAGAAATTCCGAGGGAATAGTCCGACGGAAGAGGAATTGTAACGACGGAAATATCCGTCGAAAGTCTTCCATTTACGACGGAATAAATTTCATAGGAATATTGCGACGGACTTTCAATTTAAGTCAAAATCAACTCCGACAGACGGACTTCCGTTGGAAAGTTCGTTGGAAAGGTGACTTCCGAAGGAATTTTCATCGGAAAACGTTCATTTTCCGACAAGGGGGGTTGCGACAGACTACTTCCGACGAAAGTCCGTCGGAAAGGCCGATTCCGACGGATTTTTCAATGTTTCCGACGGATTAATTCCGTCGGAATTGAGCTGTTTTCTTGTAGTGAACTCTCTTTAGTGGCACCCAAGTTTTGAAAAATTAATAATAGTGCTCTTTTTTAGGTTTATGGCTAACTTTTTTAGTTTTAGGTTAACCACAATTAATTAAAAAAATTAAATAAATTAAAAAAAAACCACCTGCCAAACCCCACTGCCACCATCACCTACGCCGGAACCCTAACCCCACAGCCCAACCGCCGCCACCCAGACCTCTCCCACCCTTTTGCACCGATCGACCGACCAGCCCAACCCAGCCAATCCCTTTCCCTTCCCCAGCCAACCACACAACCTCCCTCACCAGAACCGCGAACAAACTCCCACCAACCTCCTTCACCGAAACCGCGAACAAATTCCCACCAACCTCCCTCACCGGAATTGCGAACAAACTCCTAAAACCCCCCCAACCCAAACCCGAAACCCAAACCCTAACGAATTGGGGATGGTTTGGGCTATGGGGTTTCAGGTCTGGGTTAGGGGTTTTAGGTTTGGGGTCGCCGGCTCGCGATGGAGGAAGGGGAGGGGGTTCATTTCGGTTATGGGGAAGGGGAAGTTGGTCGAATCGGGGAAGGGAAAAGGAGTGGTTGGGGTTGGGTTGATCGGTCGACCGGCCGGCACGAAGGGGAGGGGGAGGTTAAGGGCGGCGCGGCTGGGTTGTGGGGTTAAGGTTCCGGCGATCGAGTTGGTGGTGGCTGGGTTGGTTGGGGTGATTTTTTTTTTTTATTGTTTATAAAATAATTTTTAAATAAAAAAATCAAAGGTTAACCATTTTAATCATAAAAGTTAGCCATAAAAAAAAAAAAAAAGTCACTATGCTTAATTTTGCAAAACCAGGGTACCACTTGATAGAATTGGAAAAAAGTTTGTCTCCCGTGTAGAATTTTTGAATCCTGGAGGCTACCATGTAGAATTTCCCTAATTAAGATTTATTTTTCCTAAAATAAGATGAACAGATTAAGATCTTTATTACCACTACATACAAATATATATTCTTTGGTTTCAAAAACCATCAAAATAAGTTACTCCCTCCGTTTCCATATGATAGTCGCATATGGAATCAATCACATAAAATAAGAAAAGAAGAATATTTGGAATCTAACATTAAAGTACAAAAATAGTTCATAATTAATTTTGCCTTATTTAAATTTTTTGATTTTTTTTTGGAAAGCATTAGCCATAATTGCATAATTCAAAGAAGAGATTTCCTTACTCAGAGCCATGTCATCAATTAACAATCAATTAATTTAACCAATCAGAATTTAATATGTATAAAATAGGAAATAAAAACTAAGTTAAAAATGGAATATTTTTAATATGAGTAGAGTTTTTTGAAACACCTAAAATAGTATATGAGACTAATATTATGAAACGAATGGAGTATTTATCTTTAAGTACATTTCTTTAGACATATCTTTAAGTTCATAAAAGTCGGTATATAACCTAACTAATCCAATGTCCAATTTAATTGGAAAATTAGAAATCAGCAAAACTTCTTTGCTAGTTGTACGTACGTAACGTAATCAAAACCTTAGGAATACACCAACAAAAATTCACACCAATCAAGCAGGCCCATTTTAACAAAAAAACAACAAAGATATTCCTACATGCTTGAAAAAATCACAACAATACAAAAAATCATAAAAAAAAGCAAAATCAAACTTGTATACATTATATAAACAATGAACAAACAACTAGAAGTTGTACAAGTTAAGATTAAGAAGCAATGATAATTAAACAAATTAAGGATCAACAATACTACCTCCATCTCTCAATAATACAACATTTTGATTTTTTACATTATTTTTTTACTAATTTTGACTACTTCTGATCCCTAATACATAAAACAAGTTTAATTAATGTAATTATGATTAAGCTAGTCTCGAATTTAACCCCATAACCTATTGTAAACAATCTATTCATCTTAACCACTAGATAAGACATTACTCGTATTTGTTAATGTAATATGGAGTATATTGACAAACGTATTTCGGCAAAATATTACATATATTGAAAAACGAAAAAAATAATGTAATATAACTATGTACATATGATATTTTGCTATCCATCTAAACCACTAAAATAAGACATCATTTGTCGATTTAATGTCAACATATACTAACAAAGTATCAAACGTGTTTTGACAAAGTATTACATGTATTGAGAAACGGAGATAATATCGTGGTATAATTACATACATATGATATTTTAAGCGTACACACCGCCCCAATTATCATAGACCACAATATATTATCCACTTCTCACTCTACACATCTCTTCCTTGCGCACAACCTCATCTCAGCCGTTCCTTCCTCTCAGCTGGAAGGAAAAGTCTCTTCATCTTCTTCTCCTTCTCTCACCCACCATTTCATCCCCTCTTCTCTCACTTTCTCTCTCCTCCATTTTTCTTCTGGTAAACTTTTCTGCAACTTCTACACTTTTCTTTTTACTTTTTTAATCTTTAATTGTTATTGTTTATTGTTGGGGTGCTTGAGCTTTGTTTTTGTAAGTTAGGGTTTTGTGAATTTCTGCTTAAATTCTTGTTATTATCATTTGTTTGTTTAATCCTTTCTGGATCTCTTTCTGGGTGTGTAATATGAAATGGGTTTGTCATGTTACTTTGTTAAATTGTGTTATTGCAATTGTAGATGTCGGTTATCTGGTTTTTTTTATTTTTAATTTTCTTAATTTTTATTAATTTATTCTGCGGATTCCCATTTCGTAGTATAATTCATGCCAATTATTTTCTAAAAATGAAGTTATAATCTGGGGTTTGTTTTGGGTATGAATTTTGATTTTGTTGGCGAATGATTGAGAGGCATATTGAACTTGTAAATCTTGAAGTTATTATTATTTGGATAAGTTTTAGTTAGTGAAAGGTAAGATGGATTGTTGGTGGTTGTATGAATTATGATATTTGTCCTATGGTATATCCAGTATCTAATTTTAGATGTTTGTTTGGTTTGGGTGCGATTTGTCCCGGGTGAGGCACTGAGGAGGGTTGTGTTATTCAGGTTTTCTCAGCTTGGGAAAGGAGTGATGAATGAGTTTTGAATTGTGTTATCTTATTGCATAATGTTCCGTGGTTTCGAATTGTGGTATATTATCTTTGTATGGTTGGTAAGGTAGTGATGATTGAGTTTTGATTTGTGTTTATCTTGTTACATGACGTTTTCTTGGTTTCAAATTGTATTATCTTATCTTTGTTGTGTAGTGTTTATGTTCAATTGCTCTTTCAATTGTTATGCATTAGTTTTAATGGCTTTCATGATTTCATGTAGTATATGTCCACTGGTTAATGACTTCCTTCTTTTCCTTTTAGAAGTTATGACAAATGCTTACTCTTTAAAATGTAAATTTGAAGCCTTTTATCTTCTTTCCAATACTCTGCAAGCCTTTTGTTGTCTTCTTTATGCGATATTTGTTACGGTTGTTTATGCATAATACAATCTGGTGGCAAGCATGGTCTATGTATTATAAGGCTTGCTCTTGCATATTTTTTTTTTTTTTTAAAAATGTGTTTCTGGAACTTGGTTTTTGATTGTAATTATCTTCTACAATCCCGAGCTTTGCAATCTATAAATTTTTGCTTACCAAGTACTCTCATCAAATGTAGATTTCTGGTGGAAATCATGGCTGGGGCATTAATTCAATCAACTAACATCCCTGCTTCATTTGCGTTAAATGGTCAATTTCAAAGATCTGGTAAGGGTAAGAAGGCTGTGAAGATGATGGCCAGCCTTCAAGCCCCCGGATATAGAGTGCGAAGTTTCTCAGGGTTGCGTGGAGGAAATGCATTGGATACTTTGGGTACTACTAGTGAATGTTTCTATTCCAAGATGAGAGCTGTGCTCTCTGTACGTAAAGGGACAGCCAGCCGGGGTGTAGTTAGAGCTATGTTTGAACGTTTTACTGAGAAAGCAATTAAAGTTATAATGCTTGCTCAAGAAGAGGCGAGACGGCTAGGTCACAACTTTGTTGGCACTGAGCAGATTTTGCTGGGTCTTATTGGTGAAGGCACTGGAATTGCTGCTAAAGTTCTGAAGTCCATGGGAATTAATCTAAAGGATGCTCGTGTAGAAGTTGAGAAGATAATTGGAAGGGGCAGCGGATTTGTTGCTGTAGAAATTCCATTTACTCCTCGTGCCAAACGTGTTTTGGAGCTTTCATTGGAGGAAGCCCGTCAACTTGGTAAGTCAATGTGAGCCTTGAGCTTTCGAATGAAGACTGTTGTTCTGTACTGTACTAAGTACAGGATGGATTGCTAATTTTTCATGTGAATCTTATCTTCTTGTTAGGCTTGCTTTTCTAATCTTATTCTCTTCCTCGTAACAAGTTCATAATTTCATCAGTAGATCACATGGAATTCGTATCTTTTGTGATGTAGGATATACATGTGTGCAGGTCTTTCATCCTTATAATAACATGATGTATGCAAAAGTCATCTTTGCTTAGTGCAATGAATCTATGCCTATTTGGTAATAACATGTAAGCCCTGCAAGATGTCTTTGATTGGTTAAATGGTGCATATCTTCTTGTTGTGATGACCACATTATATCTGGCCTAAATATTGTGATTTGTGGATGCTGGATCCTTAGTCTGCTGTTCAGCTAAGCTACCCACTGAAAAGAAAAATTTAAATCAATTTATTGCTTTGATTAGCTCTGCACAATATACACATGGTATTGTTCAGTGTTTGATTCTTATATGGTTTTTAAATTGTGATAGGCCACAACTACATTGGATCTGAGCACTTGCTTCTGGGTCTTCTTCGTGAGGGTGAGGGTGTAGCTGCTCGTGTTTTAGAGAACCTGGGTGCTGATCCTAGTAACATTCGTACTCAGGTTAGAATAAAAGCTCTTTTTTTGGTGGTTGATTTTTTTCTGCTAACTATAGTAGCCTATTTAATGCTGTAAAACCTAACCTGGGAATCAATAGGTTATTCGTATGGTGGGTGAAAACACAGAAGCTGTTGGTGCTGGTGTTGGAGGGGGCACTACAGGGAACAAGATGCCAACCTTGGAGGAGTATGGAACAAACTTGACAAAGTTGGCCGAAGAGGTAGGTCTTATACTCTATCCTTTACCCAATAAAACATGCTTTGAAAAGGAATATGCACATTGTCTCATCCATCACTAGTTCAGCTTCAGCTGAGAAGCATTATGCTGAATTAATTTATTTTCACAGGGAAAATTGGATCCTGTTGTTGGAAGACAGCCACAGATTGAACGGGTTACCCAAATTCTGGGTAGGCGAACAAAAAACAATCCTTGTCTTATTGGTGAGCCCGGTGTTGGTAAAACAGCAATAGCAGAGGGCCTTGCTCAAAGAATTGCTAATGGTGATGTTCCAGAAACAATCGAGGGAAAGAAGGTATATCAAAATTGTATGCTCCTATTTACTATAATGTGTTGCTACATGCCTACAAGGCTAAAATATACTCATGATCTACACATCCCTGCTGCAAATTATGTTAATATTAATATTAATATTTTCTTGTTTCATATAATTGACACCAGGTTATAACTCTTGATATGGGACTTCTGGTTGCTGGAACTAAATATCGTGGAGAGTTTGAAGAAAGATTGAAGAAGTTGATGGAGGAAATAAAACAAAGTGATGAAATAATTCTATTTATTGATGAAGTACATACTTTGATTGGAGCCGGGGCAGCAGAAGGAGCCATTGATGCTGCAAACATCTTGAAGCCTGCTCTTGCAAGGGGTGAATTACAGGTAAGCTAAGACTTTCAGTTTGCTGTCAATGTGCTAGCACTTGAGCTTAGATTGATCCATATGTGAAAGTTGGGGATTTTTAGGTCGTTTTTTTGTGTTTGTTTGTAGTGTATTGGAGCTACCACCCTCGACGAATACAGAAAACACATTGAGAAAGACCCAGCATTGGAAAGAAGGTTTCAGCCTGTTAAAGTGCCTGAGCCAACTGTAGATGAAACTATACAGATATTGAAGGGGCTGCGTGAACGCTATGAGATTCATCACAAACTTCGGTACACTGATGAAGCACTGGTGGCTGCAGCACAACTGTCATACCAGTATATCAGGTTTGTCTTCTGGTGTTTCTTCTGTAAATTTTTATGAATCATAGGGGTGCTAATTTGTAATTAAATTTACGGCATTTACTAAAGTTGCGTATGTCTCATATTTCCCCTTTTATGCTTCATTGGACATTGCATTGGGTTCTTGAATGTCAGTTTGTAACCCATCATATACAAGGCATACTTGTGTCTTCAATGTTGGACTAATCATATGAGTTTAGCCCAAGTAATGAACTTCAGCTGGTAAATGATGACCGTAATCACATAAGTAGTTGTGCCATTTAATTTTTGGTATGTTCATCTCATCTTCTTTATGTGTGAATCTTCTGTCACGATACTGATATTCTCATATTCCTCAATATGATGCAGTGACCGTTTCCTTCCGGATAAAGCTATCGACCTTATTGATGAAGCGGGCTCCCGAGTTCGGTTGCGCCATGCACAGGTAAATCTTTGTTAGATAGTTTTGCATTCTTCGATTTTTATGCTTTCTGATTTCCTCTAGTTTAATGATTTTTGATTTTTGATTTCTGCAGCTCCCTGAAGAAGCTAGAGAGCTTGAGAAAGAACTTAGGCAGCTCACGAAAGAGAAGAATGAAGCTGTTCGAGGCCAAGACTTTGAAAAGGTATGCTGCCTTATTGAACTTGTATTCGGTATTATACTGATGCAGAAGGTTTGTATTTCAGTATTTGATCCCTTTGGATTTTGAATTTAGTGCATCCCATGGAAAAAATGAAAGAGAGCATGAAATGAATTTCAGAGGTGGTACCAGAAGATCTCAATAAAGGAATGACAATATGGTTATTAATTTTTTTTTAAAGTAAACAGCTAAAAAGTTTCTACTACTGTTTTGGGCCTTTGGCATAATATTTAAAACTTATTCATCAAGTTGACCTCCTATACTGAAGCGATTTTTTCGTCTTTTTTGGCCTTTTTATTTCCAGATCAGTATGCTGTAATATCTACCTGATAGGCTTTCTGTGCTCATAGATGCATGGATGCTTATAACCCCTTCTTATAAGCATATCTTTTAAACATGTATACTGTTGACGATTGATGTAGATTCTTGCTTTAATTTTTTTTGTTCAGAGATATTGGAAGCTCTTTATTCTTTTATTTTTCTTCTTATTGCCACTTTTAAAGTATGCTCAGAATTGAAACTTAGCAATGACAAAAATTTTGTATGTTCTTACCTTCTTTGCACTTTGATTTTCGCACTCTTATCAAGTATTAACCATGTGCAATGATTATGTGTAGGCTGGTGAGTTGCGTGACAGAGAAATGGACCTCAAGGCCCAAATTAATGCTCTTATAGAAAAAAACAAGGAAATGAGCAAGGCAGAGACAGAAGCTGGGGATGTTGGTCCTACTGTCACAGAAACTGATATTCAGCACATAGTCTCTTCCTGGACTGGTATTCCAGTTGAGAAAGTGTCTACAGATGAATCTGACCGTCTTCTCAAGATGGAGGAAACACTTCATACTAGAGTTATTGGTCAAGATGAAGCTGTTAAAGCCATTAGCCGTGCCATCCGTCGTGCTCGTGTAGGCCTTAAGAACCCCAACCGTCCAATTGCTAGCTTCATCTTCTCAGGGCCAACTGGTGTTGGAAAGTCCGAACTTGCAAAAGCTTTGGCTGCTTACTACTTCGGTTCTGAAGAAGCCATGATACGGCTTGATATGAGTGAGTTCATGGAAAGGCACACTGTATCCAAACTTATTGGTTCACCTCCTGGTTATGTGGGTTACACTGAGGGTGGCCAGCTTACTGAGGCTGTTAGACGCCGTCCTTACACAGTCGTGCTTTTTGATGAAATTGAGAAGGCTCATCCTGACGTCTTCAACATGATGTTGCAAATCCTTGAAGACGGCAGGCTGACAGACAGCAAGGGAAGGACCGTCGACTTTAAAAACACACTCCTGATCATGACATCGAATGTTGGAAGCAGTGTAATTGAAAAAGGTGGGCGCAGGATAGGTTTTGACCTAGACTATGACGAGAAGGACAGCAGTTACAACCGAATCAAGAGCCTTGTGACTGAGGAGCTGAAACAGTACTTCAGGCCTGAGTTCTTGAACAGGTTAGATGAGATGATTGTGTTTAGGCAACTTACAAAGCTGGAGGTTAAGGAGATTGCCGATATTATGTTGAAGGAAGTATTTGAGAGGTTGAAGAACAAGGAAATTGAGCTTCAAGTAACAGAGAGATTCAGAGATAGGGTGGTGGATGAAGGTTACAACCCTAGCTACGGTGCTAGGCCACTGAGAAGAGCCATAATGAGACTTCTGGAGGACAGCATGGCTGAGAAGATGCTTTCAAGAGAAATCAAAGAGGGTGATTCAGTGATTGTAGATGTTGATTCTGACGGAAACGTTATGGTCCTCAACGGTAGCAGTGGTGCACCTCCTGAGAGCTTACCAGAGGTCATCACTGTGTAGAGATCAAACACTCCTACTGATACTTCCTATGTTTATTTGTACTTGGATTTGCCTTCTGAATTCCGTATACATATGGTCTTTGTTATGAATGTAGAGATTTTAAAGCAGGACCAATTGGTTTACAGTGGCCATTTGTGACATTAATAACATGTCATAACACAGATTCAGAAAGTTGTAGTATCAATTTTTCTCTGAGAAGTATGATAGTAGGTAAACTTTTGGCTTTTGTAGGAGTTAGAATGATGTAGCTTAAGGATAATGAAATTCTTATTCTAGTATAGTCTGTTTATCCTGTTCAAGTAATTAATGGTTCATCCTTTGTGAAACTCTTGCATGCCAAAAGGCCCAAAAGTTGCCTTTCGATTTAATGATTTGATTGACTAGAGTTGTAGTGAGTGACTAGGGGTCTTAGGTCTTTGGCTCAGTATGAGTTTGGATTTAATAAAGGAATGAAATCGTTGTGATATAGGTTTGGAGGAACTTGGTTTTTAAAAACCAAGTGTGTGGTTTTGTCTAGGACCGTTTCTCATGTTTACAGTTTATTTGATACCAGAAGGTTTGCTATGAGACATAAGTTGTGGCTTGTGGGTTTAAGCCTTTTAAGGTACAAATTTGATGGAAAATATTTTATACACCCGGGTGTACTGTGTATTTAACTAATCCAAAGTTAATTTGTGCTCTTTATTTGGTGATTAAATGAAAATCAGTCATTAAAATGAGAAAAAAATGTCCATGAGTGTACCGTGCACCCGATTGTATATAATAATCTCTCCAAATTTGGAAGGTTTTTTTTTTTATATCACAAACAATATGTGTTTAGTCAAGGCCTTGAAACTCTTGAAATATCTTTTCTAGTGTTTTCCTCTTTTTCGATAGTAAATATTAATGAATTTGCCCCATGGTTTATTCATGAACTCTCTCTACAGAAGGGCAATCACTCATTTTAAAAATCTTAAAATTAGCATTATTACTAGATTAGTGCACGTGCGATGCACGGTAGTAATAATATTTTTCCCCGTAATTAATTTTGCATATGATATAAAAATGAGGCAACTCATGTGGAATAAACAAATGCAATGCATATAAGAAAGATGAAATAATAAGGCAAAAATTATTAAAACTACAATTGAGGAAAAAAATATCTTATTGCTGATCAGTTATGTTGAAAAGATTTTTAAAATAATATACATTATATTACATTAATGATACATGTTATTCCCAATAAAACTATACAGCCGCATGGCTATTTAGTACTGAATTAATTTAGTTAAAAAAAAAAAAAAACTATATAATGTACTTCCAAAAAATAAGCTAAGTAGAATAATAATAAAAAAAAATTAAGTTGACATCATATATTGTATTGGCGGGAAATTTTTTAATGATAGCTTGACATATGTCCAAAATAATCGATGTAAGCATGACTTGTTTTAATAATTATCAAAAGATTTTTTGAAGGAAAAAAAGTTATAAGTTGGTAAAATTATTACAGAAATATTAAACAGAAAACTAACTCAATTATTATTGTTTCATAAGATTTTCACATCAACACCATGAATAAATATGTTTTTTTTTCATTGAACCTCACTATTGTACAACTATGCAGTATATACAATGGTAATTTAAATGTTAATATTGTATTTTAGGCTCCTTTATTTTGTACTCTCCACCATATGAAAGGTCTCAAAATATTGTGTAACTATTTTTAAGTAAATAGAATACGAAATAAAAAGAAATACAATTATTATAAAGATAATATATAAGATTATGAATAATAATATTATTATATTATACAAATATTCCAAAACTAAAAGATTTTTGCTAAAAAGAAAGGGGGAGTTTTGGAGGGAAAAAACAGCACCAGAAAGTGACACGTGTCATTCCTGGTGTCTGTTTTAGTATTATGTTATTGATTAATGAGTGAAGGGCAATCACTCATTTTAAAAATCTTAAAGTTAGCATTATTAAGACCAAGCGTATGAGGTGGAAATCACATGTATAATTCTGTAGAGAGTTTCCTCTAAATTTCATTGTTGTCAGTATTGACATGTAGAACGGAGTCTATCTTGATTCTCATCCCTCAGGTCGATGGGGGACAGATCGGCAGTGGATCTCCATTATAAACGCATACCTTGCTCAAATTGACTTGATATTTTTATGATTAAAAGTTTTGGATTTAGGCAACTTAATAATTATTTTTGGTTAAAATTTTAACCTAACCTAAAAATGGTCTGAAACCTAGGCCATTTTAGTATCGAATTATTGACTCATCAATACATTTATACATTACAGAGTACTTATATAAAAGAGACAATGTTATTGGTATAACACAAGCTATTTTTTTGGAAAAATTGCAAAGAATAATCCCAACTTTGCTCTATCCGCCCAAAATAATCTCAATTTTTGATTATTTTTAATAATCCCAGCTTTATACTCTATCCGTCCAAAACAATCCCAACCGGTCATCCAACTTGCTATTACAAATTACTGGACAAGTGTCATCCTACAATAGGTTTTAAAAAATAAAAAAAGGGAAAAAAAAACCACCAGCCTCTTCAACCTAGCCACCCCCTGTGTCGAGCCTAACCCCTGACTCCCAGGCGCCGGCCGCCCAGAAACCTTCCCCTCCACTAGTACCGGCGCCGCTCGGACCATTCTCCCCCTTCCACTTAATTAAACCACCATTTCCTCACCCCAAAACACCATCCCTCACCCCAAAACACCACGAAATATCCTAAAAAACCTTTTCGGACGCCCGACCGACCCTTCCCCCGTTAGGGTTTCGAGGGTGGGGCAAGGGGCGGTCGGGCATGGGAAGGGTTTTCTAAGGTTGTTTCGTGGTGTTTTGGGGTTAGGGGATGGTGGTTTAATTAAGTGGAAGGGGAGGACTGACGGAGAGAGAGGGGTACGTGCGACGCCAATAGTGGGAAGTTCGATCCGACGCCGGCAAGGGGAGGGGGACAGAGCGGCGCCTGCCAGAAGGGATGGCCTGAGGCGGTGCGGGGGGATTTGGTGTGTTTTTTTTTTTTTAATTTTTAATTATTTAGTTTTTTTTTTTAATTTTTTACCAATCACGTGGTGACACATGTCATTAAACTTTATAAAAAAATTACCTGTTTAATAAGTCATCGGTCACCTGAGATTGTTTTGAACGGATGAAGTATAAAGTTGGGATTATTAAAAAATAATTCAAAGTTCAGATTATTTGGGGCGGACGGAGCAAATTTGAGATTATTTTTTTTGTTTTTGGACGGATAACACAAAAAAAACTGTTACTTTTAAGTTTATTAGCGCTGTTAATAAAAAATAAATAAATTATTATTCCGTTTCAATAATTCCGTTGATATTATTCCCCCCCCCCCCCCCTCTCTCCTTAGAGCTTCCTCTATGTTCTCCATTGAAGCAGCTTCTGAGCTTTTTCTCCTCCATTAAAGCAGCTTCTCAGGTAAGCTTTTCTTTCGTTTTTTTAGTCGATTTTTAAAATCACAATCTAGTGTTTATTGCTTTCCCTCTTCTCTACTCTCTATGAAGTGAAGCAACCAGACGCAGTCATCTGCTTGTTTAGTAATTAATTTTTGTATTTTTTAAAGCTTGAATTAGAGGTTTAGAATATATCTATCAACATACTTTCTTATTATATATTAAATATAACGTTGTTAATCGACGAGTATGTGAATTGTTCTTCAATTTAATTCTTGATGTAACTGTAAATGGATTCGAACATAATGCCAGTACATTTGTAATTTTTCCTACTGTGTTATTATTTAATTTTTGCAATAAGTTGAAATTTGTGAGTAGTTGGTGGTGGTGTTGTGTTTGTTCTTGAATTATTTGTTTGGTTGATAATAATGGGGCTTAACAGAAGCAGCAACACAATAATAATACGAATTATTTGTTTGTGTGTGAGCCTAAGTCAGGAAGTTTGTTTTGCGCTTAATTAAACTTGATTCTGTTGAACCCGGGTTTTACTTAGCTACATAGCCGTTTCTAATGTTTTGGGGGTTCGGGGAAAAATGATAATAATTTGTTGAATAAATCATTTGTTTTTATAATTATAAATATTTATGTAATTTGTTAATTGATAAATAATTTTATGTGATTTGTTAATTGATAAATAATTTTATGTAACTTGTTAATTCCTTCCTCCGTTATTTTAATTGCATTATTTACATTTTTCCACTATTCACACACCTCTTTTGAATTTTTTTTTGTGATTTATCCGTTAGAATATCATATTTTTAAATATCATATTCCTTTCGCCCACAATTATCTGCAACATTTACCATAAATGGGTGCTCTCTATTATGTGCAACAAATTTTTTTCTTTCCTCTTTTAGTAAATTTTAAAGAGTAAAAAGATCACATTACCCTTACTTTTATTATTTAACTTTGTTTAACGTCTTTTAATTACACTCAATTTTTCACCTTTTTCCCACTCATAAAAGGGGCCCTCAATTTTCCACCTTTTTCCCACTCACTTTAACCCACCTAAAAACAAAAAAAATAAGGGACCACTTCTTTACTTCCTTTTTCCCACTTAATCAAAGTCACCCAAACTTAATTAAACTCCACTAAAAGTTTTGCCTAGGAGTCCGCAAAAAGCACATTTGGTGCAGATAATCGTGGACGGAGGGAGTATATTTAAATAGTTATATGTAATAATTTGTTGCATTCGCCCTTTAATTTCGTGATTAATCATTTTATTACATGGTTATGACACACAAAATGTGCATGATTACAATTCTACCTTGGAATCCTTTTTTGACTCAACTCATTCTATAAAAGAGTATTAAATTTACTTACTTGTCCCAATCTATAAATATGAGTGAGAAATAAATAATAATCATGTTTCATAAATAATAAATGTAGCTCTTTCTTATAAAATTGAATTAAGGTTACATTAATTTTTTTTTTCTTGTTCCTTATAATTAAATAATTACATGGTTCAGTTCACTTTTAATAAATGTATTATGTCATAATTAAATTATCACTTCTTATCATGCTTGTAAACAAGTCATTAAATATAATTTATCAAACAATCCAAGAATCATAATCTTCTTATAATGATGTCACTTCAATTTTTAAAGTATATAAAATACCTAATATGATACTATGCGAATATTTAAAAATTCATACATGCATACATACCAAATAAAATTATGGCGAATAGTCACAACCACTAAAAATCATCTCACTCGAATTCTTTTATATCATAAAAATAATTATTGTCAAAATAAAATTGCATAATTCAAATATTCTAAGCCTAAAACAAGAAAAAACCTTCTCATGTGAGAAATAAAAACTTGTACGAAAACTTCTGAAACGAC